ATGAGGTGCTTAGGGACATGGTTTAGTGGGCATGGTGGTGTTGGGTTGACGGTTGGACTCGATGATCTTAGAGGTCTTTTGCAACCTTAATGATTCTATTCTATGATTCTAACTCAGTTGTAACCTTTGTGGTGGCAGCTGGGCACAGGCAACAGCACTAGTCTCCCTGGTCTACTCCAGTAGCTGGAAGGAGTTGCAGCACCAGGTCAGGCTCAGATATCCTGCCCTGGCACTAGGGGATGGGCTCACCAACCTCTCTGGCACTGTACAGGGACAGGTGACATCCTGTTGCACCCGGGCTCTGCACATCTGTGGGACCAGCAATCCAGCAAAGCAATCCAGGGGACCATCCAAGGAGTCAATCCCCAAACTCATGCTCCTGACAGAGCACAGAAGAGGGCAAATCCTGGTAGGAATGGACAAGGTCTCCAAGTGGCTGCCCACACCTTGCTGCCAGCATGTCCTCAGCTCCTGGTGCCAAAGCTGACCTTGTGCCCACGCAGGAGGAGGGAGAGCTTACCCTTGCCGGGGCCATGGCTCTGCATTTCCACGAGCACACTGGGAGGAAGGCGAGATCCCACAGCCAGAGCATGAAGGCAGCTGGGTTCGTGTTTGGGAAGAGCTGGAATCAAACCCTGCAGCAGCACCACAGCCGAACCCAGCAGGTCACCATGGGCTTCTGGCCACAGAGCAAGGCCAAGGGGTGGGCTTCACCCTTGAGCAAGCTATGACTTTCACAGATGCTTTTTCACAGTCCCCCTTTCCAGAGGTCGTATTAAGCATCCTAGGCAGAGTTTGTGTTTGTAGCATTGTTTCTCTTCACCGGAATCCCTCCCCTCCACTCCAGCCCCCAACCTCCCTTTCACAGGTCAGCTTTTTCAACAGAAGTAGATGGAGCCAACGTGTTTGAAGCCTTTCTTCTCTGTCAGCAAGGTCTTGTGTGATGGGATTTAGTTTCACATTTGTTTGACCAGCATTTGAACTTTGATTATTTATATAACTTTGGTTATTCATATTTTTCGCTTCTACCATGCAATGCCACAAATCCTGGCAGTTCTACAAAACAGCAAGTCTCAAACCAGCAATTCCTACAGCCTCTTCCTAAACTTCAGCAAATTCATGGTATTAGTTCTTTGGCTGGAGAAGATCTAAACCTCTAAATTTTCTTTCCAAGAGCCTCATCACAACCAGAGAAACAAATTGAATAGTCAAACATTGAAGAACTATCGGGTACACTGATTTGTTAAAAAGCAGTGATTATAATTCCACCCACAAAATTATTTGAAGAAGTAAATCCTACTAGCACCTCCCAACAAGATGAATATTTGCTTGTGTTTTCTTGAGCTAACACAAGAATCAAACCAGGCCAACCACAGCAACTAATACATGGAGGTTGCCCAGGCTTCGGGGCTACAGAGCATCACCCAGTGGCCAGGTGGGCTGCTGAGCAAGGTTTCATCCTCCTTGCCCATCTGCCTATTTCCTCAAGTAAAAATATACCATCACTAGGCACTCCAATGCCACTGCTATGTCCCCCAATCCCCCTCATGGCTCCTGTAAATAAAGTATGTCCCCAGAAACGGCCATTCTTCACCCAGAGCCCTGTTCTAAGCCTCTCCTACTGTGGTAGGGCCAAGGTTGGGGAAGCCCACAGATCTCTGCTCCCAGCAAGGCAATTCCTACTCTCTGCGGGCAGGCAGACAGGACTCCAGCAGCCTCTGAGGCTCACAGCAGAAGGTTTGTAGATGGAGATGGCAGAAGATCTCTAAGCAGATGGGAGTCCCCAAGGACTAGCCGGATGGGGATGCAGGGGGGCAGGGTGGCCACAGCAGAGCCTCCTTGGAGCGACACACCTCCTCAGGTCTCAGGACAGTTTGAGCTGGGACCCCTTACCCACCCAGAACCAGGGGTGGATTCGCTCCCCCACAAACATGGCTTGCGGGAAAGTGAAAATCACAGCCTCAGTGTCCACATTAACAAACATCACCCGCCCCCCTGCATGGTCCAGACAGACCCGCACCCTCCGGGGGACCATGCTGTGGAGGACAGGGGTGGGAGATGGGGAAGTGAGAGCCTGGAACTTCTCCTTATATCGCCCCACCGCCCAGATCCCCCCCCCAGGGCTCATGTCAATCGGTCCCTTCCTCTTCACAGACTCCAGGGCCACCCCCACAGCCCAGCATGACCCACAGCCCACCTCCACCTCCCAGCATCGTCGCCCCGAGTTGAACCCCTCGCAGCCCAGCACACAAGGCCACGGATCAAATCGCTGTGGGTTGTCAAGCCAGCTCTGCTGTGTGGCTCCCTGCATCACGCTTCTCTGATCTTCTGACAAGACGAGCCGGGACTGAGCTGTGTCTGGATCCAGAGTCACATTCACTACAAGAGAGAAGACGGGTCAAAGAACAAGGGGTAGAGACCAGTCCTGGGAAGAGTTTCACCATGCTGGGTCCATGTTTGGTCCTGGCTTGGGAGGAAGCCTGGCAATACTTTTCTTCAGAAGGTGCCTAGCTCAAAATGGGGAGCAGCTCTGTGCCCTGAGCCAAGGCATGTGAAGATTCACTGTCCCCCAAAACGTGTGTTGCATCCCTCGCAACCAGGGTTAATTGGAGGAGGCTCCCAAGAAGAACTCACCTTTTGAGTATGGTCCCTGTGATTCCTCCATCCCCTCCCCTGTGTCAGTTGTCAAAGCATCTGAAAGAGAGATGGAGCCCAGAGATCACCTCTGACGTCCGGATAACACCACCAACACTGGGAGGTGGTTTGTGGAGACCAGCAGGGAGCTGGTGGGCAGAGATACTGCACCCTTCCTTCCCCAGTGCACACGCTGCTTGCTGCGCCTGCCGGCTTCTCCAGTTGAAGCAGGAAGGAAGAAACCTAAAGCAGCAGGAGCAAAAAAGAGTCTGGGGCTACCTAACACGAGATGGACACGGACATACTGCAGCACGTCTAGAGGGTCACCAAGATGGTTTGAGGAGTTGTGGGAGCTTTGTCTTCAGAGATATTCAGAACTCAACTGGAGAAAACACCGAGGAATCCCACCTAGCGGTACCTGCTTTGAACAGAGGTTTGGACTAGGTAACCTCCAGAGGTCTTTTCCAGCCTCAATTACTCTGCACGATGCCAGGCTCTGCCTGACAGTCATCTCAATCACTTCTTTGGGGATGAGCCTCCTCATTAGGAAAGCATGAGCGGAGAATCATTTGGGCATATTGGGACATCTGGGACTTGTTCACATTCCTGACCCACTTCCAACCACGGAGCAGGTCTGGAGCACAGATCTAGAGCAGAGCGAGCTGTGGCAGCATCCAAGTCAGGTGTTGCACAAAGGGTGTTGAAACAGGTTCACATGCGCAGGAATTTATTAGTGGGCTCCACAGCTGATGATGTGAATCAACACTAATGTTGACTATTCTTTTGGAGAAAAATAAAAGCCAAGGGAGATCAAGAGAGAACCAGGGGTGGCAGGAGAGGGAAGGAAAGGGAACACCCTCCCACTTTAGCTGGGACACCTCTCCAATGTGTCCCCAGGGCAGGGCATGTTACAGAAGGATATTCAGCTTTTTCTCCCTTCTGCAGGGCATTGACTACCCTCTTTTTCCCACCCCCCGGGATGCTTCTCTGTTCTCCTCTGAGATCCCTTCTTTGTACCTTGGGGTTTTCTTGCCATCTCCTCTAGCGTGGGAGCTGTTTCTGAGCAGCTGATGGGCCCCTTCTTCAGCTCGTGACTCATCTGCTCCTTTTGCTGGAGTTTTGCCCTCTCACACCTGGAGTTGTACAAGTCACAGCATTTATATTCCCAGAAAGTTCACTCCTTTTTTTCAGAATCTTTTTTTTTTTCAGTTCCCCCATTATTAACAGAACATAGAAGTGTACTTAAAAATCCAATAAAAGCATTTTAAAGATCAATGGAATACATTAGCTATTAGGACCACAGATTGCAAGGATTCACATGACAAGACTAAGATGTCAAAGCCCAACAACCTGAAATCTAGAGGCTCCAATAGACACATCAGAAATGGATTATGAATTCAGTTATTATTAAGTTATTATGAATTAGTAAATTTTTGATGTCAATAATGCTTGTAATGGGAATAGAACTCAGAATTTGGCAGCGAATTAAAATATTTCGACAATATTTTGAAATATACCCACTGTCTAATTGTACACACATACTGTCTTAACCACTGTTTGCTTTGTCTGAGCACTACACAGTTCTACCCTCTCTGTCTTAGGTAGTCTATGTTCTAAGTTTAGCACGGCAAGAATAGATGCAGGTACATGTGAACAAAAGCAGAGAACAGTGGTCACTGAATAATGCTATATTGTTTTCTAGCTTCGTTCAAATTATTTATCTTAGTTCTTTGGGATGATACAGAATTTGGGGATAAAATATTTTCCTTTGGAAACTATTCTAGTTAACTATATTCCTAAAAAGCATATAAAAAAAAGCTTACAATAAAGCATCTCATAATTATTCTACGTACGGTGAGTGATAGTTGTAGCTATAATCAATAAACTTCAGCCACCACTTCTGTTCGCTGTTTGATAACTGTGGAAATAAGGAACAAAACACCCAGTATTTTACAACCCATAGAGAAAGAGCTCCAGACTCTACCAAGGATAAATCAATGACAAAATTAATTTTGATTTAAAATGTTTCTAAAATGTGCAGGAATTACTATTCTTCAGCAATAGGAAAGGATACAATTTGAGACTGATATGCCAAGTAGATGGACCCCTGCACCTGCTAGAAAAAAAGCCCATGTTTTCCACTGTGCTGGATAAAGCTACAGGAAATCTTGCAGTACTGTCTTAAGTGTATGCTAGATACATCACTCCCACAAAATTCATAGCAGGAACTCTACCAGACAACCAGGACATAGCTGCTTTCTCTCCTTTTTTTTTTTTTTTTTTTTTTACACAAGAGCATCAACGAGAGTAGAGACAGCAGGTCTCATTGGCTACGTCACTACTCTGTCCTGATGCTCTAATTGCCATTTAAATTTCTATTACAAGTGATGGTCCTGGTGCCCCCAGTCACTCTGTCCCTTCAGAGCAAACCTGCGTCACAGCCAAGTGCTGAAGCCCTGAGCCAAGGGCACTACGCCCTGGTCTCTATGCCTTAGTGTCACTATGCATCAGTCGTGGAGAAACCAACCAGAGACCTTAGAAATGAAATGTCCTCCTCAAATATTTCCCCAAGTATAGACTTTCTTGGTAGACTCATACTGGTTCATCAGCTTCTGGAAAACTGAAATATAAACATCAATGGGGTACCCCTGGTATTTGAGGTATCCAGCTTTGTTCTGGGGCAGGAATCTTTGCAACCCTAAAGCAGCAGTGTGATGTAAAGGAGAAAGCAATACATACCTGCTCAAAACGTCACCAGCGTCCTAGATGAGAGAAGAGAAGCAGCTCAGTGTTACTTATCCTGCACACACATTCCTCACGTTCCCCTTACACAGTGAACGGACACACCAGCAAGGTAAGATTAATAAGTAAGATAATTAAGGTAAGATTAGCCCATCACGTGTTTCTGATTTGCTGGTGCCTCACATGCTGTTTGCCAAGACAGCGCTGGTGTTTCAGCAGACCTCACCTGCAGGGACTCGTGTCCTGAGAGCCGACGCTCCTTCTCCTTGATCAGGCCATCCAGATAAATAATCTTCTTGGAGAATTTATCAGCATTTTCTTTCAATCTTGATTTAATCTGCTTCTCCAGCTCTCCCAGCCGAGCCAGCAGCAGGCACTCTTGTTCCTCCAGGTACTGTCGCAGCTGCTTAAATTCAGGCACAATCTTCTGCCTCTCCGCCTTCACTTTTTCCTTTACAAGCAGAAACAATCCTCTCAAGGGAGGGTGGGACCACGGAAGGGGACAGGCAGCAATTAAAAGCATCCACAGCTTTTACTTTCTGGTGTGGAGCGTGACTGTTATTCCGAGGGTGCTTATTGTGCACCAACAGCTGGACACAACAATCTCCCCACTCCAAAGGCCAAGAATCAACCTTTCTTCACCCTCCCCAAACGAACTTCTTCCCGGTAGCACCATGCACCTACCAGATAGTCCTGGCAGATCCATTGCTCCTTCCTTTCCCGTTTCTCCAGTTCTCCCTTCTCTCTCCTGAGGCTCTCCAGTTGCAACTGGATTTGCTCCTGGAAGAAGAGACATCCTTTAGGAGCTCCTCACCACCCACATGTACACCTTGTGTCCATAAAATAGTCTGTTCCCTGGGTTGGACATAAGCAGCCTCTGGCACAGAGTCAGCCTCTGGACCTGGGGGTCCAGGATGCTCGCAGGGGTCGGTGTGACTGTGAAAAGCGGTGAGGGAACATGCAGGGGAAGGGTACTGGGGAGGAACCGAGGAGGAATAGGCAGATAGGGGTATAAAAGGGACCGGTCATGGGTAAAACGGAGCTGGTCAGTGCGCTTGCCTGACCCCGCCCTGCACCTGATCACCACAGTCTGTCCTACCTTCTCAATAAATCCTTTCTTAACTATCTTTTTGCATGATCTCTCTGTATCCCATGGGTGCGAGTGCCGCAGGGGCGAAGTGCTAGTTACTGGGGGGACCAGCGCGAGTGGATTTGGTGGCAGCTACTGCAGTCAGATGTGTGGTGCAGACACCCTGGGGCTGTGCTCTCAGCTCCTGGAGTCAGTGGGGTCTCAGTGCAGCTGCTGGAGCAGGAGGGGGTCCTGGATGCCAGGCACTGTGTCTGGGAGGGTGTGTGTCCCCAAAACCAGCTCCTGGAGGGACTGGTGCAAGTGACGTGAGTGAGGAGCTCAGCAGTGGCAGCTGGAGCGGAACCACAACCCACCTGCCTGGATAGAATCCCTGTGGAGTCAGATGCCAAGAATCAAAATAATATTAAAGACTGATTACAATTGCTGTCACCACCTTGGTCTGGCAGACAGCAACACCGAGGGACACCGGAGGGGCCACCAGGACAGGAAATTATAATGTCGTATACGTAAACTGCACAAGACGGTACTGAGGACAGACTCCCCTTACCCTTATGAAAACTTGATACGTTATGTCAAGCCACAAAGCATGGAAAAGGGAAACTGCAGCAACAGAAACATTGGTTAAAAAACAAACAAACAAAAAGCATAGAGGGTGCAGTTACAGCATTGACTCCTTGCAGAGAGCGTGGGCTTTTGCAAACCACAGACTGGAAAGCTTCCCAACAGGCATATAAAAAAAATCGCATTTGCAAAGAATGCCTTAGAAAGCCGTGAGCAGACAGATATAAAAAGCTACGCAGCACGGGGACTGCATGCAGAGTAACCCCCAGCCCTCGCGCGTCAAGACAAAGCGCCTGGGTAACAGAGGTCATTAGCGTGGGGAAGGCAGCCTTCCCTCAGCAACGTGAAGAAACGGCCCAGAAAGGTGCACGGGTGCTTCGCTCAGGCTCTTCCCCGGCCCCCCTCCCCCCGCCCCCCCCGGGCTGGTCCAGCCCCTTCAGCCTCTCCGCGATGTTGCCCAGCGGCCGGTTGGGCCGGAGGCCGCGGCCGGGGAAGGTCTCCCGGCACTGGGGGCAGGAGGGGGTGGCGGCCCGGGCCCAGCACAGGGAGATGCAGGCTCGGCAGAAGTTGTGCCCGCAGTCCAGCATCACCGGAGCGCAGAAGAAATCCAGGCAAATGGAGCAAATCGCTTCCTCCCGGAGCTCCTCGGCTGCCGCCATGGCCGGGGCGCGGCGGGCGCGGGGGGTGCTGTGGAGAGGCGCTCGGGCTGTTTCGCTTTCGGTATCGGGAACGGAGCGAGTGCGGCTGCCGGGACGAGACCTGGGCAGCGGCGGGACCCTTGAGGAGTCTGGGACCCCCAGGCAGCTGCAGGTCCCCCGGGTGGCTCTGGGACACCCCCAGCTGCGGGACCCCGGGTGGCACAGCACGGCCAGAGGAAGCACATCCCCCCACAACTTTCCTTCCATCCTGCCCTTATTTAAATTAAAGGGGGGTCTGGTGTTTAGATCTGGTTGACTTTGACCCAGAAGGAGCCCTGCTGTCCTTAGCAGGATTTTCCTCCATCGGTCACCCAGCTAACACTCTTCGAACCCCTTTTCTACAGACCAGCTCCCTTTTTTCCTGTTCCTCCTACATTGCCCACAATGGTTTATTTTTTTCCCCTCCTTGCCTTTTCCTCTTTTGTAGGTCATACAGTTGCAAAGATGAAGTTTCTTTCATTTTTCTATTGCCTCATTATGTACTTCATAATGCTTCCTATTCACAAGCAGGAGGCAGGTAGGACTCTCCACAACGATGCTTGCAGCTCATTTCAGATCAGCCGCATCTTTCAGCAACATTTCCCCTCGTGCTCCACTTTCCACCCAATGCAGTGATTCACGGTCCTAGGGAGTGATGGTTCTCAGCCCAGGTTAACCCCAGGATTATTGCTTTTGGGTGTGTTGTTCCACCCCCCACTGCATTTATTTTGAGCTCAGGCAGCTGGTTGGATGCATTTAGCTATCAGAAGTGCTGAGAGTATTTGCATGAATCAGCATGCATGTCATTGACAGCCATTTTGTAGGGATTTAAAGATATTTAAACAGATTTCTTTGCCTCTTTAATCTGCTCCTTCCCCTGCCACCCAGATGCATGGACCACTTGTCCGTACGCACTGCTCTCCCAGCAGACCAGGCAGGTGAGTGAATTACTGAGCCAAAAGCCCTTCACTGAAAGGGTTTATCACCTCTCCATTAAAGGCAGAGCAGGCACATGAGCAAAATCCTCCCAGTGTCACCCCAAGCAAATATTTTCCGTGTCAGAGATTGAGCGCTTTGTATTAATCCATAGCGGTGTGGAGGCCAGAGCCCGGTTATGTTCCTGGGCAACCACAAAGGAGCAAAACCCTGCTGAGATGCTGCAGGAGGTGGCACAGGCTCCCTCAGTAAGGAACTTAGCACTGCAGGCCCCTCTTGAATCCATAACGGCCAGCGCCTCCTTGCTGGGGCCTGGGTCCAGCCCTGCACTCTCTAACGTCTCCTCCTGTACCTCCTCGTAGCTCACAGTTTGCATCTGCGAAAAGAAATTGCATGCACCTGCCTCCAACCGCTTTGGAGGTTTGCTTCTAATTAAACATTTCTCTCTTCTCCTCTTAGTCCCCTCCGTTCCCATTCCCCAGCCCAGTTTGCAGTGCCGGGATCTGATCCCCCTGGTCCTCACTGATGGAGGGAGGCTGCCCTGCTGCCTTTCCCTGGGGATGAGTGCTTGGCGCTCGGAGGTGACCTGGCTCCGGATGCCACACTCGTCACTTGTGCGTGGCTACCGTGAGGGGAAGGATTGGGATTAGGGAGCAGAAGCCAGGGTGCTGAGGCAGGACAGAGCTGCTGAGGCGCCGCATCGGCCAGGGCTGTGCAGATTCGAGACCTTCTGCCGTCTGACCCTCTGAGGGTCACTGATTTCACCTGCTTGGTTTGAAGTGGCATCAGAAATGAAGATGCCCAGCTGGAACTGAAGGTGACAGGTTTGTAGTCTGTGTCTGCCTACTTTAGGAGAGAAAACTCTTAAAAATGAAGTATCAACATATCGGGTGGCAGGGGCCGCTTCTGGCAGTGAAGCTGCTTGTGACTTTTAGGAAGAGAGTCTGTTTGGTGCCAGCCAGGACACCTCTGCTTGTTTGGTTTGTTTTTTTTACCCAAGAGAGTTCAGGGCAGAAGCACCCCAGAAATGAGCAGTTTTGGGCATTTCTGTTCTCTTTCTGTAGGATTATATGGAGGTGGTAGGTAACACCGCAGCTGGAGATTGTGCCCTATTTCAAGGGTGGGTTTTTTTTCCCTCTCACCTATTGTTCTTCTCTGTTTAAGACAAGAAACTGAGAAGCACATGTGATCCTGAAATATAAAGACTATCTCTTAGTTTGATACTGGCTTGGAATAAGATGGAAAAGCTTATTCTTTTGCCCTGTGCAAAATAATTGCAATTCCTCATTGCTGTGGTTTCTGGAATCCGAGAGTAAATCTCAGATGTTGAAAACATGCATAGCTTTGCCCAGTTTTTCTTTTAATGACATTCTAGCCATGGGGTCTGGTCCTCACATCTCTGTGGAGAATAGCCAAGGAGGCATCTGAGCTGTGTGCCAGGTACCATCTGAGCTGGTACCTGGAGTCCCAGGTCCTGTGGAGAGATCCCAGCCATCAGCACGTACCTGCAGAGTCCCAAAACCAATCCGGAAATGTGAGGGGCCTCTTTGAAGCACAGAGCACCCTCCTTGTCATGGGAAACAGCCCAAAGGACTTGTCCTGTGTGGTGAGGAACACCTACCTCAACCAGGAAAAGGAAATTGCTTTCTGAAAGCCAGCTTAGTCACCCTGACGCAGGCAGGGTGAGACTGGAGGAAAGCTGGGTTTCTCAATAGACTGGTGCCCTGGATCCCCTTCACTGGAATTTTGTGTTTTGGAGGGTGAGAAAAGGTTCCTTTCTAAAAAAATCAACTCTTTGGGTACCCGAGTTGCATAATTGCAGCATTTTGGCGAGAAATACAACAATTTCATGTAGGATTGCACCATGAAGACTCATGGGAATTTAAATTCAGCTCTCCTTGTGCAAGAAGTGTCTCTGCATTCTGGTGCCACTGCAGGTAGGAAGTCTTCAGTAGCACAGAGGCCCTTGAAAAGCAAGGCTAGACTAATACGGGTCCTCTAAGGGGCATGTTTCAGGGAGACAACCTGAGCCAGGAGTTTTTGTCCCATACCCAGAACCTGCATTGACGGCACGTTACGGCTGCGACCGAGCAAAGGTGTGGGGACAGCAGTTGATGTGCTGCCTCATCGGTCAGTGGCTGGACATGGAGGCCAGCGGGTAACTCACAAAGCCCACGGTCCCGTCAGCATTAAGGTGGGGCCTGGCCTGGCAGCAAAGGTGAAGCAGGGTGTTGATCAGACCTATGTGATCCTCCCTGTTCCCAGGGGAAAAGGCTGCAGTGACAGGCAGCGGATGCACCTCAATAAACAGGTTTTTCTCAATGCTGGTCTGTGTCAGAGATGCTTCATACAAATTCTGCCGATTTGATATGTTATTCTGAGCAGCCGTCCCTGTTAAAATATGTCTCCTCCAATGGTGAGCCCTCTTTCTGTTTCTTTTACGCTGTTCTGGCTGCTGCTGCTGCTTTTTCTTCTCCTCGTCCTGGGCAGATTGCTGTGTTGCAGCACACTTTTATTTTAAAGGACTGGGGTGAGCCTTCTCCCCAGGAACATGGTGCTCTCTTCTAAAACGTTTTTTCTTTTAATATAAACAAGCCCAGAGCCCTCTTGATTTGCCAGCTTGCCCAGGAAATATGGGTCTCATCCAAGGTCTTGCCCAAGGCCAAGGCCTTGTCCAGGGCCTCGGAAACATGTTCAGACATTGTTTTTGCAGTGTCCTGAATGGCATTTTTAATATGCAGCTTAACAATTTCCACCCCGCCTCTTTAAAAGCAGCGTAGCCTTTCTAACCAGGCTTTGCAATACAGGTCTAACGCCCACCCCATGGACAGGGGCTAAGGGCAGGGCTAGGACTGCAGGAGGTGTTGGGGCTCCTCATCACACCTTGGAAAAGGGACCAATGGGTGCCTGGGTCTCTGCCCCGCGGTGCCAGATCCAGCCCTGGGCAGGCATCCTGCCCCACACCACCCTGCAGCCCCTGCCCGTGGTGCTGGCCCCAGATGGCTCTCGGAGCCAGCTGCGCAGCGAGGCCCTGGAGCATGGATCAGCCTCTCCTGCCCTGCAGCCGCCAGTGGCTCTCGCACACTGCAGCCTCGGACACAGCAGCCCAAGGCCTCGCCAGGGCTCGGACAAGAGCACAGGCTGACGGCGGAAGCACGGCCTGGCAGACAGCTCTGGCATCCCCCAGCATCCTGGGGCGAAGGGCTGGGGCGGGCCGGCCAGCAGCGGGGCAGACTCTGGTCAGGCAATTCTCTGGAGCAGTGGACAGCAGCAGGAGCCTCTGCGGGGCTGCATCACAGGGAGCACTGGGATTGCTCCGTGCAGCCCCACACCCACCCTCTGGAGAGGCCAAAAGGACTCCCTTGGCCCAAATACCACCTCCTTGCTTGGCCCACACCAGGGAGGTTTGTGTGTGCAGACAAGAGAAACCTGCCCATAAATGACAAAAAGCCCTGGGTTTTGTCCAGCTTTGGCTCAAATATGAAACCTTCTGCCAGCTCTCCTGGGGGCAGGTCAGAAAAGCTGCCCGCAGTGCCCTGGGAAGCCAGCACACAGGGTTTCTATCAGGGAGACAGCCTGGGCTCTTCAGGCCCTCCCATCTCCTCCAGTAACAACGCAACAGCCCAAAGTTTGTCTCACTTTTATTTACATAATTGCACAGCCCGTTTCCCCATGACACTGGAACGTAGTGGGTTAGAGACACTGATTTCCCACGTCCACGAGCAGAACATCTCCTCCGGGAAGGAGGAGAAGACTCAAAGAGTCGCTGTTGGGTTTTGCAGGGGCACATGCAACAACTCCAATTATTGGCAACTACGATAAAGACGACAAAGCTGAGAGTGAAGCCGTGGCTGCGCAGCAGCACAGGGCTGGGCCCCAGCTGCCCCCAGCCAGGGACTTCTGGCTTTCACAGTTGCATATTTGGATCAACAGTGGGTTTCCTAACTGAAACACTGGCTCCATTAAGTCCTTACTAGAGGAACTTGGTGTGGGAGTGCACATTCTTCCTTACCTGCCAGAACTAGATACGTCACAAGACCAAGCTCCTGGGAGGCAGCCGGGGTTGGGAAGGTTAAACTAACCCCCCAAATTTTTCTTCGCTGGGAATGCCCTGGTGATACAGGGTTTATTGGGGAGGGGCTGAAGGAAGGGGTACCCAGGACAAGGCACAGAGCAGCGGTGCAGCGCTCACTGCCAAGGGAAGGGGTGTGCAGAGGGAGGCAGCGCCCGCGTGGGAGCTCCACTGCGCAAGCCGATTTGAAGCAGGATGCTGCTGCTGTGCAGGGACCATAGCTGCAGCTGGGCTGAAGGGGCCTCTCTGCACTACAAGCCTCCAGGAGCACCAGGGGCTGAGTCATCCCTGCACAACAGGGAAAAGGGAAGGTGGCCATGGGTATGTGACAGAAGGGAGGAGACAGGCATGGAGGCTGGCAGAGAGGGGAACAGAGATGCACAGCCTGGCTATGGCAGAAGACATTTATCCCGTGATCAAACGAGACCCTCATGCTCAGAACAGAGACCAGCTCGGACCAGCCCACAGGGGCCCACAGCTGGGCAGAGAGAGGCTGCTGCCAGATGTGCTGGGATATCACTGAGTTACATGGGAACCCTGGGACAGGAGACAAAGCAGGACACAGACCAGGCCCCAGGGCTGGAGCAATCCTACTGGGAGAGGCAGGGCGCTGGCCCCTGCTGCTCATGCCACCAGCAACTTCCAGCCTAGGGTCAGGGAACAGGGGGCATGTAAGGAAAAGCATCCTGCTTTGCAGCTAGAGAGAAGGAGGAATAGCACATGGTGCTTTGTATTCAAGAAATTACAGGTCTCAATCTAGCAGGGCATCGGACTAATCTGCTTGGGTTCAGCAAAGGAGTGGAGGGACATAGTGTGTGACTACCACCACCCACTGCAAGGCCACGGGCACCTTGGAGCCTGCCTCCTCCCTGCTATCTACCCTCACCATCGCACAAGTGAGAGCCAAGGCTCAGGCCGAGCAGCTGCACACACCTCTGGAGCACTCAGCAGGGCAGTGCCAACGCTGGCATCCTTATGGCCCGCTCCACTCACGAGGCTCAGGAAAGCACAACACCAAGCACAGGCATCGTCTGGCAGGGTGGGGAGGCAGTAGAGAGGCAAGGACTAAAGCCAAACTCAGGGAGACCCTCAGCAGATTGGGCACTCCAAGACAGAGGGGTTCGTTACCTGGATGTGCTGGAAACACAGGTGGATGAAGGAAGAGGAGGAACGCTGGCTCTGCAGGAGAACGGACACAGAGCCTGTTCTCTGGGAACCGGCGAACTTGGGGTGTTTCACTAGAGGACACATAACAGGCAGGCAGTGCTTTCAGGGATGAACCAAATTACAACAGCTCCTCCGGCTGCTGCCGAGGAATGTGCAAATAAAGCTCACAGAGAGCAGCCGAGACCACCTGTGTCCTGCCGAGCAGCTGCAGAGCACGGCCTGTCCCGTAAGGTATGTGTGTAACCGATACTACGAGAGGTCCAGCCTCAAGATGGTGGAAGGACATCAGCAAACAGAGACTCCAACTCTCACCTTCTGGGGTCAGAAAAGCTCCTGTCTGAATCTTTTAAAAGCAAAAGGCAATGGTGGGTTTAGCTAGTACGAGCCATCACTTCCGACCCTCAGATCCTCCATCTACCTTTGCCAGACATACCAAGAGCTGAGTGCATCCAAGTCCTGGGGATGAGCCAGGATCTGCAAGGAAAACATTTTGTGAGATCACGTCTGCACAGGAAAAGATTTTCTCATTTTGAAACTTATTTTGAAATTCTCAAAATTACAGTACTTTACAATACAAAATGTCTCCATTCAGTATTACGTCATTTTACTCCTTCTGGGATTATAATAATTATTAAAAACACACAACTTTCTAGAAAGGACAGAAACACCACGAAAGAGACCAAAGAGTAACGGGAAAGGCTGCTGCAGTATTATCAAAACCAATTTAGTGCAAAGGAGAAGGGAACTTTCAAGAACGGTCGATGAAAAGTGTTCTTTATACGCTCATTTGGAGAAAAGGCATAGATTTAACCTCTGAATGAGATCAGGCTGCCAGCTTCTATACTGAAGCTTAGAACATCAACACAAAAGGACTGAAACACAATATGCATGGCCATTAAAAAATAATATTATATATAGATATATATATATAGAGGGAGATATTTTCCACATATGGTATTTAGTTATAGGAAAGTGTCCCTGCAGACAGGCATATTTTGCCATCTGGCTCTTTTGGGCCATTTCACATGACAGACATTGATTATCTGTCTGTTTGCCATAGTATAAAGTACATGCTGACCGCAAAGTCCCTTCGGGTGGGCTTTCTAGTGCCTCCACAGTTGCTGCGTTTCCTGCGCACGCGAGGACACCCGACCCTCTTTGCTTCTGCCAGCAGCCACGTGGCGCAGCAGCCAAGGGACAGCTTAGACGGTGGTTTCATCTGCAGTCTTCTTCATGAGCTTGGCTGAGAGGAGGGAGTGGGGCATGGGGTAAGGGCTCCGTGAGGCTGGGATCATCAAGCGGACTTTCTGGTTGGTCCTTCGCCACTCCGAGTACAGCTGGCAGTGGTAGCGGAACGAAACCTGGTGGGTGATAACGCATCAGTCTGGTTACCAAACCACTGTCACAAGTGCCAGAGCCCCTAGAGGGCCAGTGAGATGCAGTCACCCACCCGCCCTCTGCGTGCTCTCTGCATATTCCTTGTCAATCCACCAGCACCCCCCACCCAAGGGAGACAGCACTGACCCTGAAACGGTTTGCGGCACTCCACGTCCCAAGCCTTTGACAAGGAATCAGTTAACTCCTGGTAACACCAGGCTGAGCATGGCACAGCCAAAGGAGCTTTCCAGGCAGCACCAGGACGGAGGGACAGAGTTTGCTCAGCTGGGTTTGGTACAAGGCCAGTGAGATGTGGCAGGGAGAAACCACAACTCGCCCCTTCACCCTAGCCACGGGCTGAAGCGAGCACCTTGTCTGGGGAAAACAAGGGGTTCTCAACAGGACCAGCCTCAAGTGGCTGAATCCAACCAGTCTCCTCCCATCTCACAGATCCTGGTGGATCTTCTCTGCCCTTTGCAAAAGCCTTCTCTCCTTGGTCTGCAACAACAGGACATCGGTTGGACTCATTTTTTGTGACAACGCTGTGGCCTGGGAGACTTGTTCACCGGGAGGGAGATGGGAGAGGATGCAAAGGCTGGAGGGGACCTTAACCAGCCTGGCCCTGCAGTTTCAGAGCAGCCCTGCAAGGGGGAGCTTCGGCTCCCAGTGGGCTGGACTCCTTGCTGTGTCCTTTTGCAAGCACTACAGATTTTCTCACAGCTCCTACTGATTCCTTAGCTTTGAAATTAAACTTTTCTAGAATTTCTTGAGGACGGAATAAAACCAGCATATATTTCCCTCCCATTTATTTTCCTAGAAATTGTGAGCAAGAAAATTAAATACTGAATCCAGTCAGCCACTCATCAAAACCAAGCTTTCGTACTTTGTAAGAGTACAGGAAACATTTAGCTGGCAAGTAGGAAGTACCAGGAAGTATATCTGACAAGGAAAAGTCAATATTCCTATTACTTTTGGATAAGTGTCAGACATCTGCTATGAGAAATGGAGCTGTGCCACCACATTGAGGTAATTTAGCTTATTGATCTGTGCACTCCCCTTTTTCCTGTTGTAGAGGGACAACTGTGGGAATAAGGTTGTTTGCTGATAAACAAGAAGCAAATGGATCTCACAGTCTTCAGAGACAGTGTGTGAATGGGGAGCTAATGGTGCAAACCTGAAGGAAAGCTCCTGCTCCACAGGAAGGAGCTGCAACCTTGGCCACAGCCTCTCTCGGGATCCTCACACTGATTAGAGCCATCACCACCCACCCACATAACAGCCCTTTGTGCCACACAGTCCATGGCAGCACGAAAGAATTGCAGTTGAATATGGTAAATGTGAATAAAGGGGCTTCACTTAACATCCTTCTCTGTTCAAGGAAATGTAAAGCACAGTAGAACTAGAGCCATTTTAGTCAGGACTCGTTATTTCACAAAAAAAACCCATTTTTCCGTTTCCTCCAGATTTCCAGCTCCTCCAGACCAGTCCTGGGATAGAGGAGACGGAAGCACTTCCTCTTAAAGTTTCCAGGTTTAGCTTGGCTTTCTACAGAAATGAACCTTATGAAGCACGTACATGCAGCAGCAGAGACTTTCCTCAGCAGCTCCCTGTGCACTGCAATTGCTGCATGTTTGACAGCAGCACCAATCGGGCACTCTCACTGCAGGCACCCCCCCAGAGCGAAGGCTGCAGCACCAACTCACTCTCCCCTGGCGCCTGAGTCTGTGTGGGAGACTTGCAAGGCATGTCCTAACCCCAGGGAAAGCTATTACTCTGTGAGATCAGAGCATGAAATGGCAGGGAAATGGGCTGTGGCATTTCTACTGCCCACTGAACTGCCAGCTTTCCGGGGTCCCGCTATTTCTCCTCCAGCAACTGCACTTCTTCCTTTCCCAAAATGGTGCTTCCCAGCAAGCAGTTGGAAAAGGGTATCAACAGGGCATGAGCACACACAGCGCTTTGAATAGGAGAGCCGAAATGAAGATCCAAACCCAGAAACCCACCTAGCAACAGAGCACAGAAGAACTGAATGGGAAACAGAGGGAAGTCCCTGGCCTGGGAGACCCCAGAGAGAGTGGGGCCAGGGGAGGCCTGAGGGCTCAGGGAGCAGCAGGGCAGGGAGCTGCCTGCTCCTCTGGGCTCTCAGCTGGGAGCGCTCACAGATATGCTACACAGCAAATTCACATTTGCTTTCCTGCTCTTCTGGACTCACCCCAAGCTGCAAGCTCCTGCCTACTAATTCAGCATGTCCAAAAAGATGCAAAGCAAGGCATCTGCAGGAAGCTCTTTCCAGCACGGATCAGTTCAACACCCAGACAGTGTCAAGTGCAGGTTCCCACTAATCCCAAATGCCTCCAACCCTGATAGCGCAGCTATAAAGCTGCGGCAGCGGGCCAGGGCAGGCTGGCTACCCAGCCTTGGCTCAGGGCTCAAGTCCAAAAGCCCCGTATGAGAGAGAAGTCAGAGGTCTCCGCAGGGCTGGAGTGTTCCTTGCACACACCCTTCTGTGCTACTGACATCTTAAAAGTACTGTGTAGGAATTTGTTTAGTTGTGGGCCACCGAGACCCCCAACAGCCAGTCTGCACCTCCTTCAGGCACAGTCAACCTGTGCTGGACAACACAAAGCATGGAGGGACACGATGGCAGATTATTTAGAGGTCAAACGTTTTCCAGATTTTATTTTTTCCCCTAAACCACCCACGTATCAAGTTTGTGTTTCTTCTCGAAAATATGAACAGGCACAACAGCTGGACCACTGCCTGCCCCCAGCACCAGACCTTCCCACCCAGCCTCAGCCATGCTCGGGCATGTCTGCACTCGGGTACACGACACCCCGGGGAACACTGCTCCCATGTCAATCTGGAACGCAGATGATCAGGAAGTGGTTTCTCATTCTCAGCAACAGCTTTAGCAGCTCCCATTTGAAGGTAATTAAATGGACGTTCAAGAGAAAGAGCCCAAGGTTTTCTTACAGGGGGAGTCAGAAACGGCTGGCTGCACCGACACGGTGCAAGCCAGTACTTCGATCTCCCTTTTGAACAGTAACAAGGCCCAGGGCAGCAGACACTTACCAGCGTCCAAAGGACGTAGATTGTGAAAAGTGCTATAGTTAGTGCTATGAGTCCGATGGCCTCCAGTCGGCTGTTGAACTGCAAATGATCTTGGGCTCCACGCAGACACAGCCAGCCGGAGATCGCCGCCAGGGGAGTAATGAACAGGAAACACACCATGTCGCAGAAAAGGGTCCTCTTCTCATTGCGGGGACCGGGATCCTTCAGCCACTGCAGAAAGGAAGGGAGAAAGGGCATTAGTCAGCGGCACACAGGGCACACAGCGTGGTAGCAAAAGAGGACTGCTATGGTGGGAAGCTTTCACATGCTCTCTGCAGTCTGTGTGTACCTGGTACATACACTTAGCTCACATAAACTTTCACAAAAATAGAGCTAGAGAGCATCAAGTATATTTTTAACAACCAACAAGGGAAAGGGAAGAGACAACTTAAGAATATGTGCAGGGGAAGACAGTAGTAAATACAGGAGCTGCCTGGGCTCTTCACTGGACTAGCAAGGAGCAGGCAGCAGCTAGCAGACAGAGGGAGGTCGGTTCAGTAAAGCCTGGCTTAGTAAAGATCTGACAGGTCTTGGATTGAGCTTCAATAGAAACATATCCAGGACTCTGCAACTGGTGTAGGGGCTATGGGAAACCAGGGCATTGGGGTCTGTGGCCAGGCCAAGCCATAAGGGCAGCTGTCCCAAATCCAGCCCTCTGGTTCCTTTTGGAGAATTGTGGCATTTTAGTTTCACTCCTGATTCAAATCAAATCTGAAATGCCCAGGTCCACCTGAGAGACTGGGCAAGACAGCTCTGCAGAAGGAGTGCTCTCAAGGGTATGGCACTGTCCTCGGGGCTTGAGCAAGCCACAGCAGTGCCGCTCACCGGGGAGCCCGGCACTCAACCAGGGCCATCAGTGGGGAATGCAGACACCCACGCACCCAGTATTTTCACTGAGATGATGACAGAGAGGAAAAAAGCATATCACTTCAGCAACTAAGAAACCAAGACTGGAGAGAAAAAAAAAATAGAAAAGCAAAAAGAAAGTGAGTAACTAGCAGAAAGCTTTGCACCTGAGCAGACAAAGCAGGACAGCAGTCAAGGGGCCATGGTGTTGGGCTGGCCCTGGCAGAGGAAGGTAACACAAACCCATTTTCTTTTACAGAACAACCTGTGCCCAAATCTGCGTCTTTCTCAGAGAAAGCTTTTGACCATTTCTAAAGAGAAAGCAGCATGATTGTCAGGTGAGGAGGGACACAGAGCTTGGCTGGCTGGGGGAAGATCCCCCATTGCTTTCTCCCAGGTCTCAGTGGATCACAAGTGACCATGAAGGGATGAGGCATGATCACACAGACACAGCTGCTGAAAACTCCACCTTCATGACTGCAAAATCCCACAGACCTTTCCACTGCTGGTGGCCATCCGCTGGCCACCACGTTACAGGCAGAAGAGACCTGCCAGGACCAGGACAGAGCTGATTCTGGTGTATTCCTTCCCATTTTCAGGCTTGCTTTCTTGCCTCCCAGGCAGTAAATCACAGTGGAGGTTACTGCACTTTGCTCTGTGTTACCAAGAGGCTTTGCAAGCGCTTCTCTCTTGCAGCTCTCAAAAATTAGCAGGTTGCAGAACAAATGCAGCTCTGTTGCAGGCAGGTTTCCCTCAACAGGCAATCTCTAAATGTTCACTACTTTTAGGAGTCCCGACTTGCTTCCAGTGTGG